AATGAATTGATAATAAAGAAATGTAAAATAATATTAACAAATATTATAAAAGGAAAAAAGTATTATTGTATTTAAATGTATATAATAAAGCTGAGAAAGTGAAGAAAGCACAACAACGAACTATTATCCAAAATGTTGGCAGCAAAAAAGTGAATAAGTGTGCTCTTGAGTTTGCGTCTGTTCTTAAGAATAAATCCCAAATCAGAAAAAATGTATGACGTGAACATCTTTGTATCTGCTCACCTGACTCAAGGTACTGGATGTTACATTACTGCTGGATATAGAAGAAAACGTGATAAGTGTGGTTAATAGCTACTTACAGTTTTTCTCGATTGCTAACACACTAAAATTATACATAAAGCACAATTATTTTAACTGACACTCAAAGAGCAAAACATCGGCTCAAATCTCCAAAACAGCTTTTCAGATTTTCACACAATTTGCAAATCAACATGGCACTTTTTGCAAACCATTGCGTTTCTCCACGTAAGACATACAGTCAGATTCCTTGTGTGTGGTTTCGGTCTGGAGATCAGCTGTATAAAACCTCCCAGCTTGTGTTTTGGTCATCAAGTTTAACTGTCCCTTTAAAACGCTTCATAATTAAAAACGCACCCAATCTATTACTGCTTGGGGTAATAAGAAATAGGTAAAGAAAAATCAGCAAAATAAAATCAATTGGCTTGAAACTGCAGTTTGAGTTAAAGGTTGTTATTCAGTGAACATGGTTCATTTTACGGTTTACTTCAGGTTTAAACAAAAGGAGTAATAAGCAAGTTGTTAAGCCACAGCTAATAACAAGTGGACACCATGAAAAAAAGGATTTAAAAAATAAAGATATTTATCCAATCCAGCTTCATTACATTTGTACCTTGTTTTATGTCATAGTGGATACTTGTATCTGCAACAGTGCTGATTCTCTGTCTGTTAGTTTAGATGAAAATAAGGAGCCACTCCCCACGCCCCTCTAATACCCCTTTCACACCAACGCAGTTCCAGGGCCGGTTCGGAGCTGGAGCTTGAAAAGCACAGTTTTTTCCTGTTCACACCGCAGCGGAGCCACCACTAAGCTCCGGAATCCGGTTCGTTTCAAGCACCAACAAGTTGTCGGCCTAGAAAGCAAGCACCGCATACGTCATGCTTACGTCGGAGGGGGGGGGGCAGGGGCGAGATCAACCTCCAACAACAACAAAAAGCCTAACCCTGTGTAATGTTGTTTTTATAGGCAATCATTTAAGCTTTGTTAGTTCCAGGTTTAATATGTGCAATAAGTTCATTTCAATAAGTTTTGCAATAAACATCGATTTTTTTTATTTTGGCCCACTGTGTAACTGTGTAAGAACTTTTGAATGTAGCATGTAATGACTGTAAAGTTGGTAGTAAAGTCGTCCCATTTCTTCCATTTTGTTTCGACAGAGCAAAACGAGTAGCGCTTCAATACAATCGGCCATTGTTGTCGATGTGAGGGGTTTCCGCGGTTTGGCTTTATGAAGCAGGCACGCAAACGGTTACATCATGACGCAAACAATGATGAAATGACGCAGCACCAGTCGGGCTCTGAGCAGTGTGAACAGAGCGGGAGCTGAACCGAAGAACCGGTTCCGAACCAGAAAAGCTCTAGCACGGAGCTAGAACGGGGTGTGAAAGGAGTATGAGAGACATTTGGTTAAAAAGAACACAATGGTGCTCTAGGAGGAGATTCAGGTGATAAGGGGGGGGGGGGGGGGTTACCTTGGTTGCTGATTGGCTAATGGTTACTCAAGCCAAAACATCGTTATGACATCATAAAGTGGCCAAAATCTGATCAGCTCATTTTCAGACAGGTTTTTATAGAAATGGATCAGACAAAGAGAGAGAATCTTTGTTCCTGAAACTTTCAGAGTCTCTTTCCACAGAGGGGACACATGTTGATGTAGAAGAGACATGAAGAAGAGGGGACACATGTTGATGTAGAAGAGACATGAAGAAGAGCGGACACATGTTGATGTAGAAGAGACATGAAGAAGAGGGGACACATGTTGATGTAGAAGAGACATGAAGAAGAGGGGACACATGTTGATGTAGAAGAGACATGAAGAAGAGGGGACACATGTTGATGTAGAAGAGACATGAAGAAGAGGGGACACATGTTGATGTAGAAGAGACATGAAGAAGAGGGGACACATGTTGATGTAGAAGAGACATGAAGAAGAGGGGACACATGTTGATGTAGAAGAGACATGAAGAAGAGAGGACACATGTTGATGTAGAAGAGACGTGAAGAAGAGGGGACATATGTTGATGTAGAAGAGACATGAAGAAGAGGGGACACATGTTGATGTAGAAGAGACATGAAGAAGAGGGGACACATGTTGATGTAGAAGAGACATGAACAAGTGGATTTGGCATAATAGGTGACCTTTAAAGACTGGCAATATAAAAACTGTTGCCTGCAAAACCATGTTGGACACTAAAAATCGATATTTCCAAAATAAATGTTTAATCTACAAATGTTTGCAAGTTGATTTTTCGCACCACAACAAAGCAAACGGAGGCCTCTGGCTGGAGAGTTAAACACAGTTATAATGTTACTTTTAATTATGGCAGTAATTTAAAAGGGTTAACACACAGAAACACAGTGTGTGTGTGTGTGTGTGTGTGTGTGTGTGTGTGTGTGTGTGTGTGTGTGTGTGTGTGTGTGTGTGTGTGTGTGTGCGTGCGTGTGTGTGTGTGCGTGTGTGTGTATGTGTGTGTGTGTGTGTGTGTGTGTGTGTGTGTGTGTGTGTGTGTGTGTGTGTGTGTGTGTGTGTGTGTGTGTGTGTGTGTGTGTGTGTGTGTGTGTGTCTGGTTCTCACTAGGGTCTCTGTGGAGCTAGAGGATATGATACTATTAGGCAAAGAGCCTTAAAGGCTAAGAATAGTGAGTCAGGCTAAATCCATACAGTAAAAGCTCCCATCAGGCTAATGAGCTGAGTCTGGATCACAGTGTTCTGTACAGAATATAGACTGCCTCATGAGGAAAGAACGAGACAGGAACGTAATAGTAAAATAAATGAACACTAATGGTACTGCCATGCTGAGGCAACTGTGTTGAACCTCTTGTGTGTATATAAATACCTCTCTGCATGTATGGTTCTTCTTATTATAATAATGTCTTCCTCATCCACCTTCTGGATTTCAAACCAGGCACGAGTGATAAGAAGGTTAAGAGAATCATAGAAAACTGAAGAGCTGTGACTAATATTAGATCAGAAAATACTTTATTGATCCAAAATTGGGAAATTATTATTCACAGCAGCATGTTGTTTGTTACATGGAAGCATATGAAACAAAGATACCCAAAAATATCATCATCACATTCAAATATAAGAATTCTAGATATATATATATATATGTTTCAATGCATCTATAAGGGCACAAACCATGTCAATGTTCATTTGTAAATTGCTGACAATTTTGGGTTGCAATGGTAAGATTGTAATTGTAGAAAATGGCTAAGTAGCCTGACATTCTTTGGGTTTTACCTGTGGTACATCTTTCTTTAGAGAAAGGTTAGCCTGCCAGTAGCCAATATGTACTGTGAAGCGTTAAATAATGGGTTCGGCAAATTGGTAAAGACGCTTATTTGCTTACTTGTCGAGAGTCAGGAGATTATTAATACCACTCTCAATTAAGTCTATAAAAGCCTGTTAGCGTAGCTTAGCATAAAGACTAGAACACAGGGAAACAGCTAGCCTGAACTTAACTTGCCAACGTGTTCCCTCCTGTGAGGTGAGAGCTACGGGCATGGACAAAAACACAGTTAAGGAAAGTGAAATACGAATGTCAGTAGTCAGTGTGTTTAAGAGGTTTTTAAATATGCTTCCAGTCTTTATGCTAAGCTTAGCTTAGCATAAAGACTGTCTTAACTGTCTCCTGTCTCGAGTTTTAGCTTACAGACCTAGAGTTGATCCTCTTAACTTCCTGTCATCAAGAAAGTGAATAAGTGTATGTCCCTATATCTTGACGTGCTTCTCTAATAAAATGGC